CACTCACAGCAGCTCCCTTGTCCCACAGGGGTGGGGAGCAGGGATCAGCTTCATATACCCACTAAAATAGCGGCCAGTGCTGGTATGCAAGTGCCCTAGTTCAATGCCTAAACATGGTATCTTGCTACCCAGGCTGGCAGGGCTGCCAGTTCGTGCTCCAGCCCTGAAGGTGAACTGTGTGTCACTCAGCAGTGGCTGCACAGCAGGGAAGGTCAAAGAGTCCCTCACTTTTCAGCCGTACTGCTGAAGCTCCTGGGCAGGAACAGCTGGGCACAGGGGAGAGAGGAGCACATTAACAAGAGCTTTACTACCTGCATCTCTTGGCTATTAAGTGAAGTAATATCCCCAGAGATGTTTGGGTCTAACCCCCACTGAAGTCAAAAGGGCAATTTTGGGTGGAGGACCAGCTCTACAGGGACCCTGCTCCATTCATTGGAGAAAAAATCATCTTCAGAAATATTGTAGTTTTAAGTGTCAACCCATATAAGTGGATGCTAGCCATGGCCACCCTCTGTGTTTGGGGTAGAAATGTCATGAAACCTTTCCATGCCACTTCTGATCTCTCCTCTTAGCTAAAACCTTGTAGCAGATTTGCATTCTCATAACAATTTAAGAAAATTATCAACTGTGAAAGCATCTGTAAAGCTGCACCGACAAAAGTTACAAAGACAACAAAGCTCAGCCAGAAGATCGGAGCCAGTGCAAGGATCCGAAAAGAACTGGAAAAGAAGGAAATCATGTTTGTAGGTGCACTAGCTGGAATAATAACAGCCTTGCTTGTTCTGCTTGCAGATTTCCTTGCTGCTCTTTATGGGCTGATTCAGGGAAGGGAACAGTGTGTCTGCCATCAGTCCTTCTGCATTTGGAATCCTTGCCTGCACTGCACCTGCACCTGTGCCAGCCTCATGCCTTTCCACAGGCAGGCAGCAACCGAGCTGCAGAGCAGGAAAATGACCTCCCCCCACCATGGCCACATGCCCCTCTGAAGCTACAGGCCAAAAACATGTTCAAAACCAGAGAGGAACCACCCAAAGTTGGTGATCTTCCTGTCCAGCTTTCTGGATTTTATGTTCTGCACTTTTATCCTTTGTTATACACTGTGGGGCACTGGCAGAATGGTGCAGGGCCAAATAACTGAGAGTATTTCCTATGGTTCCTTTCCAGAGCCAGGACAGATGTGGTGGCAGGATGTATCCTGCAGAACACACTGGGCAGCTTTGGCCAGCCCCAAACACACACTACAATAACAGCAGGCTACTCTTCCAAAAAAAATCCTTACCCAAACCCATTGTTTTGTTAATTTTAACTGGATTATCTATGAAGCAAAAAAACCCCACTAAAATAAAACCTGAAAAAACTCAGGTTTCCCAAGACTCCCTCAGCAGGAATGTCATTGCAATGAAATTATTCCTCTTGCAACCTCAATATTAGTCAGGAGGGTCAAACAAGTGTTGTTGGGCTTCAGGTACCATTTTTGGAGCCAGCCCAGTGCCCCCCGTGGCTCCCAGCACCGCAGTGCCCACCTTGCTGCCCATCCCTGTCACTCTCCCAGTGACCTTCCCCCAGCACCCATCTGTGAAGCATCAGCTGGTCCTCTTACATTGCCTCTGTTTCTAAGAGCTGAGCCAGCAGAGATTTAAATGAGCTCTGTAGTGAGTGCTGGAAGCTTGATTTGGGGCACCCTAAATTTGGGGCTTCAGGTGACTCCACCCGCACAAAACAGCACTGGTGACACTCTAGTGGTCTCATTTTGTGTCAAAGAGCTTCTGCATCCCTTCCCCCATGCCAAGTGCTGTGCAAAGCCTGGGAATCCTCCCTCTCAACACTCTGTCATGGTGTAATTCCATTATAATTCCTGACATTTGAGAGACTTCTAACAGTGTGTGCTTTAAATTAGACAAGCAATATCTTGCTCGCTGCTCGCAGATAAATAAAAAAGTGTAAAACTCAATTTTCTGACACTCTGTTCTTGGTACTGATTTCCTTTTAAACCTCTAACTACCTGCTGTCACTCCTTCCTCATGTGTGGCTTGTGGGTATTACATGAAAGGTGATATTCCATGTCTGGGGCACACATGTGCAATAGATGTGCAGACCGCAGGAAGGTGCCATGCTGAAGCAAACATGTTCTGCTGTTTTGTTTTTCACACAGCTGTATGTAGGGACTTAGAGGCAACAAATACAATTTTAGATCAAACAATAGACAAGGACAAAATGTGTTTTGTAAGCAGACAAACAACCTAAATATAAAGTTGTTTGCAGAATCTGTGTGAATTTTATTTATGTTTCTTGGACTTTGCTCTCCTCTGGGACCTTACATATTTTACATTATTATCAAATATTTGTAATGATCCCTATAAACAGTCTAATGTTAAAAGCTACTCCAAGTGTAATTTGACCCAGAGGAAAGATGCTTATCTGAGCTCCACAATGACAGATTAAAAAAAGATGCTGATGCAGTATGTCTCTTGTAAAACGAGGGAAATATAAGAAAAATCAAAACTGCACAGCTTTTTTTTTTTTTTTTTTTTTTTACCATAAGATAAAGCAGGAGTTATCTCTGTTGGCTTTTGCAGTGAAATACAAGAGCAAGAGCTACAAATATGCAGCACTTCTGATCCCAAATGCACTAGCCAACCAAGGAAGGAAGGAGAGGAGTAAATGCTCAGCCAGCCGGTACTGTCAGAATCTATTTCACTGTTTAGTAATTATTTTTTTTATTACTATGACAACACGGACCATAAGAATTGCTTCTTTAACCCCAGCAAATGAGACTGTGCAGATGAGACTTTTTTTTAACTGAAGTAATTGCTTTTTACTTCTGCCGTGTAAGAAAGTGATGGCACTACCAGAGCGTCCTGCCCTGCTCTGCCTCCTCCTGCCCTGCATGGATAGCTCTGCTGCAGTGTGGCACTCGGGTCATTATTTTTATATCAGGAGGCATTTGAGAATGGCTCCACACTGGCTCAGCATTTTCTGTCTTAAAAAAAAAAAAAAAAAAAAAAAAAAGCGCCAGCATTCTCCTTTTTAAAGTGCTTCCAAATCTTTTACATCTCTTTTCCTTTTCTCTCTCTTTTCAACCCCCACCTTTTTTTCCCCCCCGTTGTGGTCCTGGAGACCACCCTGTAAGCCTACATGACATCATGAGAGAGAATTAAACGTACTTGAAAGGCCACTTCTGTTTTGGTGGGAACTTCTATGCAATTGCAAAGTGCCCATTAAAGCACAGGTTGTTTCCTAGAAGCATGTCCAAGCCAGTAGCGTGCAAAGCCCTTCAGGGCTTCTAGAAAGCATTCGCTTTTGAAATGCTGAAGGAAATTCAGAGATGAAAGGATAAGTCTCCCTGGCTGTGCATTTACAGTCTATTGTCTTCCATGAAGGATAGTATCACTCCTCAGTTGTGTTATTGCAGTTAATCCACTTAAATGCTATTGGATTTTCAGATGAGCTGAATTCTTTGCATCTGCTATTAAGAACCTTTGTTTAGATGAGAAAGGGCTGTTATTTAAATCACAATGAGTTCAGGGAGATGTCAGGGTGCAGCAGGCACCTTGTGCCAATCCGCGCCGGGGGAACGGGGGCAATTTCTCGCCGGGGCGGCGAGGAGGGAGGATGCGGAGGGACCGCGAGCTGGCCCCGCGGAGCGGCGGGGCCGGACCGGGGCCGGCTGCGGGGCTCGGGACGGGCTGCGGAGTCCGGCTGCGGTTGCGGAGGATCCGTGCGGGGCGCGGGCCAGGGCTGCTGCGGGGGTCCAGCGCAATTGCAGGGTGCCGGAGCTGTTGCGGGGGGCCGGGGCAGCTGCGGGGGTCCAGGGCAATTGCAGGGTGCCGGAGCTGTTGCGGGGGGCCGGGGCAGCTGCGAAGGCCGGGTCCGGCTGCGGCGGAGCCCCGGGCGCGGCGTCTCCGCGGCCGCGGCGGGGAGCCCCGCGCCCGCGCATGCCGCAGCCGGGTGCCGCAGGGCTCCGCTGCCCCCCGCCCGCACCGCCCCTCGCTGCCTCTCGTGCACTTTGGGGGTGCTTCTGTATTCCTTAAGGCTGCCGTGTGCGTTGTCCTTCGCAATGAAGGCTGCGCTGCAACAGCAAAACCCGCACACCACAACCCTCCGCCGCTCTGCCCCTCCCCTTCTGCAAAAGCCAAGGCCCCCCCCGCTAAAACAGAATAACAACGATAAGAAAGCGCGCACACACGCACACACGATCGCGCCGTGGCCATGGCGATCCGCTGTGCCTTATGTAAAGGCAGAGCACACGGCCGAGCCCGCCAGGTTACACGGCGGCTGCTGCGCAGCAGCGCCCGCCCCTCCGCCCGGTGCCGCAGAGGGCCGGCGGCGGGGGCTGCCCCGCTCCCCCCGACCCCTGCCCGCCGCCGGCTCCTCGTTTTCCCCTCTCAGTGGGCAGAGCCCTGGCCCTGGAGCAGGCGCCGCAGCTGCCGGCACCCCCACGACTTGTTGTTGGTGGGTCTGGTGCCGGGAGTACCCGGGAGGAGGGGCGGGGGCGGCGCACGGCGGGGCGGGAGCGGTATATGCTGCTCCTCGCCGGGGCCACGCTCCAGACCGGCCACCGCTCCGGAGCGAGCCCCGAGCCTCCCTCTGCCTGGAGTTGCAGTTCGTCTGCGATCCCCTTGGGATTTAAACCTTCTTGCATATATATATATATATATATATATATTTTTCCCCTCCTTCCTCCTCCTTCTCCTGTCTTTTTCTCCCGTGCAAAGTGGAGCAGGAACTGCACCAAGGCAGCCCGCGAGATCCTGCAATACTGCTCCGATTTGTCCCTGCTATTATTCCTAATTAATTATTATTTTTGACCTCGCCCCAACCGGGGAGGGAAGCGGGACCATTCTCGGCGAGAGAAACATTTCGCTCCTTATCAATAAAGATTTTTGATTTTTCCCCTCTCCGCGGAGGGGCCGGGTGCAGGGCAGGCACGGCGGGGGGGGCCGGCCCTCGGCGGAGAGCGCAGCCCCGCGGTCCCGGCGCGGCGCGGAGCGGCGGCCGCGGCGGGGGGAGGCGGCCCCAGCGCCGCCCGCGCGAGGGGGGCAGCCGCCCCAGACAGGTGATGGGCGTTTCGGCTGCGCTCCGGATCGACTCCTTGGGTTTCACTTTGGTCTGATCTAAGCAAATATGCAGAAGTACCGGCTGGTCTAGTCCTAAGAGCCAAGAGGAGCGAGCGAGAGCGGCAGAAGGGAGAGCAGCCACGCTCCCGTAGCGAGGGGAACGTACAAACAGCGTCCGCGCCGTCATTAAACCACCGCCGCCCCGGGCAGCCCCGACCCACCCTGGATGCGGAGGACCCCCGAGCCACCCCGCTGCCTTTCCCCTGAGGGATGGTACTGAATTCCTGCGCGGCAGGAGCCGGCCTGCAGCCCCTCTCCATCAGCGTTGCCTTCCCTCCGTGTCTAAAGTGCACGAGACCGCGATGAGGACCTGGGCTTGCGTTTTGCTGATAGGTTTTGGGTACCTGTCCTTTACCTTCTCCGAGGTAGGTGAGAGCGGCTTCCTGCGCTGCCGGTCCCCGGAGCACGCCGCAGCCGGGGGTCGGGGCGAGCCGCGGCGGAGGGCACCGGGGAGGGAGCGGGCTGCCCACTTGGGCTCCGCGGGCATCCCCGAGCCCCGGCCCCGCCGGGAGCGCTGCCCTGCCCCGGGCCCTGCGCGGCCGAGCCTGGGAGCAAGTTGCCATTTCATGCATGGCAGAAGCGAAGGGGAATGACCGTGCATTCCGCGCCCGGGCTGCTGGCCGCCCTTAAAAACTAATATCTGTATAATATATATTATATATTTAATAAATATATGGTTAAAAAATCCACGCCCCGCGGGTGCCAGCGGGCTGCGGCTGTGCGGAAACCGAGGGTGCGCGGAGCCGGGCCGCCCCCGCGGCGCCCGGCGCTGCGCACGGCGGCCGCGGGCACCGCTAGTGCCGCGGGCAGAACTTGGGTGAATCCCCCGCGCCCCAAAACGCCGCTCCCCGGTTTGTGAATCTCCCCCGGAGCAGTCGGGAGCTCTCCCGCCCGGTGCCCGCAGGGGACGGAGGGGGCGCGGAGCCGCGTCCCGGGGTTGCTACAGGTGGTCCCGGTCGGGGCGAGCGCGGTGCTCGGCGCTGCACAGCGGCTGTAACTTTTCCCGGGACCCGCTCTGCTTGGCACTGGCAGCCGCGACGCGGGCGCTGGTAGGATGGCGGCGCCCCGTGGGACGCGGTTCTCCTCCTCCTCCTCCTCCTGCCCGGGTCGGGGGAGCCCGCGCCCGCGGGGGACTCGGCGCTCGCCCGGGCGAACTTCGGCAGCCGCTGCCCGGGGTGGGCTCCAGGCGCCGAGCGGGGCTCGGGGCTCGGCGCTGCGGGGCTCACGCTGCCAGGCGGGGCCGTGCGGAGCTGCCGCCCCGCTCAGCCGTGGCGCAGTCGAGCGGGCGGCGCGCAGCCCCCGCGGGCGCGCAGGCGGGGGCGGCGGGAGCGCTCCGGGTCCCCGCGGAGCGCTGTGGGGGGATGTTCGCGTGGATTTACCCCTTGCTTCATCCCCGCATGTCTCGCAAACACCCCGCACCCTCCCCGGCAAGCCCAGAGGCGCGGCGCGCCGCATGCCCGGCGCTGCGGGCGGGACTGCGCGGTGACCCGCGGTGTGTGTGTCTTTGAAGGAGGCCGAGATCCCGCAGGAGCTCATCGAGCGGCTGGCGCACAGCGAGATCCACAGCATCCGCGACTTGCAGCGCCTCCTGGAGATTGACTCCGTAGGTAAATTAGTCCCGTCCTCCTTCCTTCCGCGCCGTCGGCCCCGCCGCCCCGGGGGGAGGCCGCGCACGCCCCGCGCTCCGCTCCGCGACACCCGCCGGGGACCGGCCCCGAGAGCCGGGCGGGCCGGGATGCGTGTCGCAGGGAGGCGGCGGCCAAGGGCCGATCGGGGATTGAAACTTCGTGGGGTTCAGGGAGGAGGGGGACCTTGTGACCCCCAAGTGTTTTCAGAGCTCTCTCCGTCTCGCAGCGGAGAAGAATTGCCATAAGGTTTGTTGTTGGTCTTGCATTGCTCTGTTATCTTTAAACTACTGTCCTAGAGGTATTTAAAATATTTGAAACAATATTTATGAATGAAGTAATGTCTCTTCAAGTGCTGGGCTTTATTAAAAGGAAAATAAACCGTCCACACTGATTTTAAACAGAAACCTGCATATGAAGCTTACCCTCAAAAATACTTTTTTTTTTATTATTTTAAGAAAATAGTGCAGGGTTATTTTCTGCATCATTAGGCATGCAAATGGGTGTAGTGAGAACGTGCAGTTTAACAGATCGTTGCAGCAGTAAATCAGATCTAGAAGCATGGTATTGCTGGGTTCCTTATCATTTGGTTTCACTTGATGCACTTTGTTCCTGGTGATTTCTTCTCTCAGTAGAGAGAGAATAAATCCGGCACCTTTGATGTGCCCAGGGGAAGCCTGCATCTTGCTGAAGCACAAACATGGAGAAAAATGAATGGGTTCTTGCTTGCATTGGTACTGGGCCATCTCCTTTTAAACCATATGCTGTGTATTTTTGTAAAGTCTGTGCCAGGTTCAATCACCTTCATTCAGAGTTGCAGGATCCTTCTAGAGTTTAACTCCCTGCTTTTTGAACAGTGCTCTATTAATGACCAGAAATGCATTAGGAACGTATTTTACAGTCACAGCTTTCAATTTTCTGTGATTAGAGAGCAAACATTTTCCCATTACACTGAAAATGGGAGTATTTCTGTCTTGCACAACACTTTACCATAGAGACTAATTAGTAATTACCAGATTGGCGTTGGTTTAGTATTTTTGGAGAGCAGTGCTTCATCACTGTTGTTTATCACGACAATTAAAGAAACTTTCACAACTGGGAAGGGGTATGCAGTTCATATTTCCTCACTGAAGGCTGTTTTGGACCAGACAAGTGCACTACTGCTGAAATATTTTTCCCAGTGAACTTGGTGGAGTTGGCTGCTGTTGCAGAAGGGCTGGATCTGAGTGCTAGCATTTTAAAATAGTGCATGCTGCTCCTGCCTTTGAGTCAGGGTTCTGTAGCTACCAGAATACATTATTTTTTCAAATACCTCAGCGTAACAAGCACATGCTTCATTTTTAAATACCACTTAGAAGGAGAGCAAAAGTTCACGTGGCCCCGTTGCAAGTGAATCAGGCAGACAAGTGGGGCAATGGCAGGAGCTGAATAAATGGGTAGATGTAGCAGAGAAATTTATTTCAGAAAATAATTATTTACCTCATGGCAAATATTAACTGGAGGATGCAAGACCAAAAATGGAGAAGGTCAGCCACAAGTTTACCCATTTCATTTTGCTGTTTTCTTGCAATTTGTCAGTTTAGAAACCATTAGAGAAACAAGAGACATAAATATTTTACTATCTCACTGTGAAACAGTAATTCCTTAAGACATGAACTCAAACAATATTAAAAAATAAAACCAAAATATTCAGCCTTTCACCCTGTTCCTGCTTATGTGTGTTCTGCTTTTGCCTGTGTGCTAAGCTGTGCTCTGAGCTACTCATGGTTGGGTTCTCATGGAGTAACCCGTCTTTACTACCCACATTTGCTTTCCTGGGCACAGTCCTGCAGACTTTACTGTCATGAGTAATTCTTACTAAAGGCTTATCAGAATGACTAATCGAGTATTGAAATTACTGTGCTTTCCTCAGTAAACAGGATCAGGCCTGTTTACTATATTTAGTATTAGCTTGAATTAGCAAATCAAATGTTTTCTCGTTGTCCCTGGTAAGATGATATTTCTGAACTGTGTTTCCTTAGGGCTGCAATTGCCTTTAAGGAACAGCCAGTTCAGTGAGGGCTTGTACAGTAGGTATATTTCTCTTTTATAGCAGGTACTCATTTTCAGCTGAGGCTCAGAACAAAATCACTCCAGTGACTATTTTCTCCCTTGTTTTAGTGCATGGTATTGCCAGTCCTTCTGCATGTGAGTAGCCCTGTTTAAACTCAGTGGGTGGACTTGAGAATTAAGAATGATCTTGTAGGCTAAGAGTTTGCAGGATCAGGCATGCATGAAGAAAATGTCTGATATTCCTGAGTAACAAGGCGGAATCTGTGGAAAATGAAGGAAGAACAGTGATTTTCTCTCCTGCAATGCAAAACATATATTTTTAATTGGAAAAGTAAGTTTTGTAAGTCAGAGTGGGCAGGTTTTTCTTCTATTCTGACAGATTTGGTCTCTATATTGTAGCGCAGAGATGACTGATAACCCCCTTCATAAAATTAGAAACCACACCCCCAGACCATCTGGCATATTACTTAAAGAAAAACACTACCCAACATGGAGCTTATCATTGTATTCAAAAAAGAAAATCCAGGCCAGTTTGTCAGAGCCCAGTGCTTCATGTCCGACTCAGAGGGTAAAGGCAGCATGAAAATTCTCTGTTCCTATCAGGAAACGGGGTCTTGTATTAATTTGCTGCAATTGGGATCCAGAGGCAGTGACAGAATTGCTTTGGCATGAAGGAGAGCAGAGTCTGACCCTGTTGAAAGGAGAAAGCATGCACAGTCCCAGGAAGTAGGCAGCTCTAGTGTGCAGAGTGCAGTTTTACTACGAGCAGACTAAATGCCCAAAACGAGGGCATTTCCTCTGCTCTGCTTGTGGAGCTCTCTCTGGCTCAGCAGCGTGGTTGTTCTCCTCGTGCTTCACCTCTCCCATCTGTCCTGTGGGAGGTAGAGTTCATGTCATCACCTATTATGTTTGCCTCCCGCTGGGAACAGATTTTTTCCCCAAGTCATCTGCCTGCATGGGGAGAGGCAGGGCTGAGTGTGCCTCTTTGCACGGGTTAAGGGCATCCACCAGGGTCACCTTAGGCCATGCGAATTTAACGGCCTGTGATTAAGAACTAGCAGAGCAGCTTTTTGTTATCTAAATTAACTGTATACTTCCATGGAAAAAGTGTTAGGCTGCTGCAGAGCTCAATCTTTTGGAAAATGAGCTGTTGTCTTTGCGGGTTTTGGTGTGGTGCTCAATGAAGGATGTTACAGTGCAGTGTTTTGGCTTCTCTTGCACCTCTTGCACATTATGAGAAGCACCTTCCATGTGTGACCTTTGTTTTTCCTGAGACAGATGAGGGAATATTCCTCCTTCTTTACAGCTGGTTGATCACACCTAGGTAAAGGGGAGAAAAACCCAAAACCCTAAATAAAACAGGATCTTACGAGCTGTTACTTATATTTCCTTTACCAGATCAAAGTTGAAAACTTAATGACATCTGTCTCTGCAGTTGGATGTCAGAAGGGCAAATTTTGCAACAGCCAAAAAGAAGATCAAAAAAACAAACTGATTTTGCTGTGGGCTTTCTGGCTCTAGGACTGATTGTAAGACAGACCATTTCAGTTTATTGTACCTTACATTGAGTTCCTTAAAAAAAAAGAGATTATAAGAATTTCCTAAACTGCTGCTGTTGGTACTAGAAGTCTTGGATCTGTACTTTCTGGATGTGCATCAAAGTGAAAACTAGAAGAGTTTGCATTAAGACTGGATGTGTTGGGGGTTGTATCTCACATAAAATAGTTTGGGAGGAAGATGGAAATTCAAAAGTATAAATTGATAACTAGAAAATAGGAGTAAACTTAGGATGTTTTCCACATGCTTCTTGAGTGAGAAGAGTAATCATGTATTGGCAGAATGTCACAGGAACTCTGTGATTTATATTCCGTGACCCAGTGGAAAATTGCCAATCTGACAAAAAAGAACAATTTCAGCTACACTAATGGATTGACCAAGGCTAATTGCAAGAGTTTTTATGCCCATCATTGATATGTTGTCAGTACATAAAAGATTACAGAGAAATTTCTTGATCGGCTGCCATGAAAACATTTTTTTATTATTAAAATGTAAAAAGAAAGCTGCACTAATTTGGCTCTGTGCAGCATCCTCCATCTTCACTTGGTGATGAGCAGTGTTCCAGTTCTAAACTAAGAACCACCCATTTCCAGCTTTCTGCTCTAAGCCTCATTTTGTGAGGTGCTAAGCACCCATAAACTCACATTTCCTTTGCAAAGAGTTTATCCTCACCCTGCAACTAATTCAGTACATTGGGGGAAAAACTGATACAAATTAAGTCTCACCCTTCCTTAAAGTCAAACTAGAGAGTACTCTTTGTAGCATCGTGGTTTTAATGAAACAAAAGGAAGTCTTCTGGCCACACATTCAGAGCCGAGTGTGAGTTTCAAAGCTGACTTGGTGATTTTTCATTCCTGCTGGGCAAGACTCCTGTTGACTTAAACATTGCTTGAAGTGCATTGATTTTCTTGTTGGCTTCACTGGGAAATGGAATTCCTTCCAAATGCCTGTGGGAATCAGGAGGGACACTTCAGTGCCTTTAGCATTGTAGTGTCTTCTGGCTCCAGCCATACCACATGATTCTGTTTATTAAGCCAAACTTGGATGATGTGTTGGTAAAAATAATACAATTTATGTTAGATAACACATTAAGGTTTTACTGGAACGTGTTCTGCTGAGCTAGCTGTGTAGATCTCTTTTTGTAACCCTCACAGAGAGACATGAACTTAGGAACTGCTATACATGCTTGAGACAGTGAGACAGTGGGGTACAGGATAAGCCAGAGGCCTTCTTCACCTTAGAAATCATCTTATAAGCAACACTTCTCCTCGAGGTGTCATTTTTCTTTATAAACATGGTGATGGAAAAAGGCTGATTGTGGCTGAGTCGAGTTATGTGTAAGCACATGATTTAACACACTGGTTAGCTGGGCATACTAGTCCTTTGGTTCTTACCAGCTTCTTTAAAGGAGGCAGCAAGGGATCCTCCATGCTAGGAGGGAGCTGTGCCAGCATTGCTGAGTGTGGGATTAGGAGCCATGACCCAGCCCTGCCGTGGTGCTGGCAGCCCTGCCAGCTTCCCTTTCCAGCCTGATGCCTGTGCCCACCAAGCAGTTGGGATTAGAGGCATTACTTTTTTGTTTAATCTCCTTTTAAACACTGTTTGCTTGTGCATGGACATGCTTCTTGCTCTGAGTCTAGCTTGGGTCTCAGGCTGAGCAGAATTCATGCTGCTTTCAAGTATCACTTCATTGCCTCAAATTGAGGGAGAGGTTGTGACAACTTGAAGCTGCCAAAAAGGAGGTCAGTGTTAAGGTGTTGGGTGGCTGAGTGCTAGGAAACAGAAGAGGGCTGGAGGCACATCAGAACGGATCCTCATTTTGCATAACACCATTTGGGATCAGGTGGATGGCCTGGTGCCATTGGAATGGGATGTGGGAGACCTGGCTCCACTCCCCAGCTCAGTTGCAAACTTCCTGTGGGATCTCTGGCAAGCCATTTTATTTATACCACTGATGAGTTTTCTGGAGTATGGGGTGCAATAAAAGCAGAAATAATACCCTTTAGTCATTGCTGTGTTAAATTACCTGACTGGGACTGCAAATAAGGCCCAATACCAGCTAATTAGTCAGGTTCCAAAATTTCCCATCAAAATCTAGGGGAAACCAGTACCATAGATAGGAACTAAGAGCCCATTTATTTGGATTGAGACTATTGATTAATTTCATACAAGGATCTGTTCAGCTGATAAGGAGAATAGGCAGGACCAGTGGCTGATCCTGGCACTGCCTCTTGGACTTCTGATTTCATTTTTTCTTAGCTACTTACAGTAGCATTTTCCAAGAAGTAATGATAAACCCTGGGATTCAGAACTCTTTCTAAGGTGTTGAACATCCTGCTGTCTTCATGTCTCACCTGGCTGTACAGGTGATTTCACAAGCTGCATGTTCCTTAGGGCACAATTTCTTGGAGGAAGGAGAAAAGGAGTTGGTTGTTTTGTGGAGCAGAGCCTTATGATGTGTGTTGCTCATAAAGCTGAGATTAAAACAAGTTCCAGAGACAGACAGCTGTGTGTACAGAACAAACTGGAAGCAGGGAGTGTGGCAGTGCAGAAGATGGGAGTGTAGGGTGTTGGTAGCTTGTAGAGAGGGTAATTGAGTACTGTGTGATACCCTTTTGCATTTTTTTTGAGCATGTCACAGTTTTCTTAGGAGCCAGCAGTGAAACCTTGAAACTCTGCAGTGATGTTCCAGAGGACACTCCAAGCAGCAGAGTGCTAAACCCCTTAGTTTGGGTGTCCTGGGGTCTGTGTGCAGTTCTCTGGTTCCTTCTTCCTCATCCCCCGTTTGCAGACTGTGCTTGTGGTTTTCAGACCCCACGGCATGGGACACGACCTGAACTGCTTCACTTAACAAACTCAAATAGTTGGAGCAGTTATTTTGTTGTTTTTTATGATAAATGAAATGCCAAGCTTTCCATCTTTGCTTTTTCTCATGGCCCTTTAACCCATGTGGTAGGCTTATTTAGGGAACAAGACAAGCCTGGATGCAGTCCCAGAGTTTGCAGTAGCTTCAGATGCCCCTCCAAAGGTTAGGATACTTCACAGGGGATTTGTTCTGCAACAGAGAGGCTAAAAGGAAACCCATGCTAGTTACTTTTTGCTTTTGATTCTGCCCTAGTACTGCCCTGAAAGCCAAGCAACAGAAAATTTACAGAGGCAGCATTGTTGCTGTTGGGTCTAATACCATATTTTCTACTGTTGCCTCATACCAGAACTTCAAAATGTTTGTAAGAAACATTTCACATGCAGGATTATTGTTCATATTTCTACACCTTTCTAGTAAGAAAAGCCGTATTATGCCTTTCAGAAAAATGCAACTGTTTTACTTTAGATATGGTTCTGTGCCACAGTGTGTGCAGTGGAGGCTTCCAGTAAAATGGATATTGGATTTAAATTGTGCATGCTTATACAAGATATTCAATGTCTGTGTCTTTATTCCTTGCCTTATGCCCTTGCAATTGCATTAACAGGGGTTACATTAGACTGAGTGTAGCAGGATTGGGTCTTGTGTTTATGAACAGCACAGATTTGTACCTGTGGAACAGCACTGTAGTGACACTGGTGCACATAACGTACCTGAGGTTTAACGTTTTGTTTCCTGTTCTAGGATATGATGATGTTTCAGAAACAAACTTGAGATCTTACAGTGTTCATTCTGCTAAACATGTGCAAGAGAACCGTCCTGTGCCCATTCGCAGAAAAAGAAGCATTGGTAAGCAACAAGCTATTTGTACTTTGGGAGTGAAAGCAGAGGGGGTGCTTTTGGTCAGCCAAGCAGGACGTTTCACTGGAAAAATGTGACATGCACAAAGGAAAAAAAGGGCCATTTCTAGCTTCTGCCTTTCTTTCTGCACAAAATGAACCATTGCCTGAGAAGCTGTCTTCTGGAGGATGTCCATAGGAGACAGACATACACAAATTCTTTACATTCACTTTCTTGTTGCAGCATGTTGGAAAGCTAGACCTCGGTTAGAAAATGCTGTGATATTCAATGTATAATTCATAGTGTGGGGAACAACTACAGCAGTGTGCTTTAAAAAACATCAACAGTTGGTAGAGTTTTCAGTACAGAAGCTCCACAAAAGGAAACAGCTTGACTCTTTATTCACAAGAAAAATACAGTTCATCCCAAAAATTAAAAGCCATTGATGGAAATGCTGGGGCATTGATTTCCCTCACTGTGTAGGGCACCAGGCATGTTTACAGGGGATTTTATCCTTATTAATGACGATGATGATCCAACAAGCCCAAACACAAATTAAAAAAGGGATGTGCGAATAGGATTTATACGCGGTGCTTGTTCATCTGATTAGGTGTGAGTGTTCCACCATTCCTCTGGACTGTGGAAAACATCCGTGGTGCTATCCCTGGTGGGTAATTTGGTGTGTTTGTGCTTGGAGCTGTGGTGGCAGGCAGAGAGAGCCCAGCTTGCTGTCAGCAGGGATTTGCAGTGTGAGTTGGCAGGCGCTGGGCACGTTGGCTGCCTGGGAGAGGAGAGCAGCGGTTCTGGAGCAGCCTGTGACATTGGCACCTCACCCTGCAAGGTGCTGAATGCCTCCCCACCAGAGGCACTGGGAACTGCCTGTGCTCAATAACTTGTAGGAGTTGCCAGCTATCTTGCAGTATTGCATCTGGTAATTTTCTGGAGTTCATGGCACTGGGGGCTGAGAGTAAGGATTTTCACTCTATTTTGTCTATTGAAATGCATCTCTTTCAAAACTAAGCCTAGATTTCCATGTTGCAGGCACAGGCTAGGCCTGAGCTTCTTGTACTTGAATTAAGTGAAGTAGTGCAGGCAGTGTTCCAGTTCCCTGACACATCTAACCCAAAGCTATTGCAAGCTTCCACTGTAAGGCAAAAAAAAAAAAAAAAAAAAAAAAAAAAAAAAAAAAAAAAAAAATCCCAGCTGTCTTTGGAGAATTTATCAGCAAAACAACTTGTCCCTGAAATTACTATTTTTTTCTGGACTGTTTTGAAATATCAGCTTGACTTCTTAAACAGTCCCAAGGTTGATGATGATACATGGTTTGGATCATGGCAGCATCACACAGTAGTACAGAGCTAATATTTATAATCTTAAATTCACCTTACCTGAGCCCACCAGGATATTGGTTTAACTGCAGGTTTTTCAGTCATGCTGCTCTGGTGGTTTTGCATCATTCAAGAAATAACAAATTAAATAAAACCCACCATCTACAAAGCTTTGATGAGTGCAGAAAAAATGGCAGTTGCCCTTTGGAATGGTGGATGAACCAGACTCCCTGATGTGGGGATGTTAAAGTTCTGGAAGTGGAAATCCAAGTCGTGAAAGTCTGGTGCAGGTTGTTTCCCAGTTGTGCAAATGGGGTATGATACAGATAATCCTCCATTTAGCTTCTGAGGCAGTGTTTGCCAGGTGTTGCATGCTTGTGTGATGGTATTTGTGTGCAGAGATGACCCCAGTGCTGGAAAGCAGCAGCTGCTGCTGCACAGTCACTCTGAGGCTGTACTAGGGGGTCATCGAATGTGGAGGAGCTCCTGGCTTGTTGTCACTTCCAGAGCCAGGATTGCTTTATCTCATGTTATGTGCTCCAAGTTGTGTTGGGAGCCAGGCCACTGGAAACCCTCATTTTCGGGCTGGGCTTTGGGAGCGAGTCAAGCGTGTCCCCAGGGTAACACCAGAGCTTGTTACAGTGCACTCAGGCCATGCTTTCCCCCATTCCCCGGGACCCCTGTGACTCTGATCAGATAAGCCTGGACCCCTCCTTCCAGCCCCAACGGGGTTGGTGGAGAGGCAGAGAAGCCCTCCCTGTCCAGAGCCTGGATAAGGCCATGTCCCTTCTTGTTCGCTCTCTTCTCTCCGCTCTTCCCCTTGCACCATACGATAAAGATCTGGACAACCACATTGGGGTGAGAGCCTCTTTCAGAAATCTTTGCCCATCTCCTGATGCTCCTCCCCTCAAGGCCTCGTATCTCTGAGCTAGCCTGATGCTTTAGGGGCTGAGAGAGGGAGAAACATCAAGAGCTCAGCTGTGGGCACACAGCTCAGCACTGGCGTGCTGGTGACCGGTGGGACTGGGAGCGCTGGCCCCGCGTGCCTCGTGCCCGCGGGTGCTCACGCGGGCCGTGCCTCTCCTGTGCCCGCAGAGGAGGCCATCCCGGCGGTGTGCAAGACGCGGACGGTGATCTACGAGATACCTCGGAGCCAGATCGACCCCACCTCGGCCAACTTCCTGATATGGCCGCCCTGCGTGGAGGTGAAGCGCTGCACCGGCTGCTGCAACACCAGCAGCGTCAAGTGCCAGCCCTCCCGGATACACCACAGGAGCGTCAAGGTGAGCAGGGGCCCTGGCCGGGTTCTCCTCAGCCCGGAAACTTGGAAACTCCACTTACCCCCGTGCCTGTGTGACCCAAATCCATCCATCCTCACATAGAACGCCCCTCTCCATTTATGGCCTTTTCAAGTTATGTGGTCATTGGAAAATCTTGGGTTTGGATTTGGTTTTCACAGGATTCCCTTTAGGTTTTCTCTTTTTTTTTAATTTTTTTTTTTTTTTTTTTTTTTTTTTTTTTTTTTTTTTTTTTTTTTTTTTTTTTTTTTGGAATGAAAATAAAGTTGATTGTGCCTTTCCCATGATCTCGCACAGTACAGATCTTAAAGTTAAGAAGATAAAATGACTCAAGGGGCACTGGACTTAAAAAAATAAATAAATCACAGTATGGAATGCTGTTTCCTTAATTAAATATTATGCAGCCTAAATTGGTCTTTTATATTTGACAACATAACACTTTTGATCTGAAAAAATGTGTTTCAAATTATCTTACCCCAGGGATAGAAGACTCAACAGCTTCATGCTGTATTTACTCATTAGACAAAATCCCTATTGCAACTTTCCAGTAAATATTACGTGAAATATTTATGTTCATTTGGCTTCACTGTGTTCTAATTTTTATCAGTATTTAAACAAGCACCGTTGAACTACATCTGTGTGTAGGAGATTAAACTTACACTTTGCATTCATATTGTGAAGACTCTGAGTTCTTGTTGCCCTGAATTTCTTAAGAGCAGAATTAAAATAAACCCCACCACATTCTTGAATGTAAAATTGCTCAGCACAACAACTGATTGCTGAACTTGCAATGGATTTCTTGAGAAAAGTGCTGTTCACTTAGTGCTGTACATCCTAGAAAAAAATAAGGCACTTAAGCCATTCCATTGTATTTCATACACTGTTTTTCATACATGCTGACATGTCTGGGCAGAATTTATTTTTCTTTTCTGTTTTTGAACATCTGAGAACAATGTTTTTGCATCCAAATAAGCTGGAGAAACATCTGAGATTCCCTCAGTGTTCCCAAAAATAATCATACTTTACACTTGCTTGCTCCCTTGCCTTCGTGGGATATGCTTTGCAGAAACAATTAAAAATGAAGTAAAAATTTGGGTCAATAATTACTTGAGGGCTGAGAACAAACTGGGGAGATTGCAGGACTACAATTGTAAACCTTTCTAAACAGGAGCTAAACAGCAAAGTGCCTCAGGGTTGTGGTATTTAGTGCTGCTGCCTTTGGGTTTGATGCAGCTTCCACTTGATTTTGTGTAGCAGCAAACATGCACAGAGCAGCTGGATGTGCTCGGCAGAGAGCTGAGATGGGTGTGATGAGCTTGCAGTTGGTACCTGTGTGTGATATTGAGCAATATTGTGGTACTGTGCTTCTGTCCTAGCCCTGAGGGATGGGGGAGATGACAGATGAGACAGAGGGTCTTGGCTATCCCCCTGCTGCTGGGACAGCCAGTGTTCCTTAACAGCTACAAACTCCTGGCAGCAGCTTTGCAGGGTGTCACTGCTGGGGCTGCTTCCCCAGCACACCACCACGTTGAAGGAATTTTAGTCTCTCAGCCTGTTGTAGTGCTTTTATATTTGCATTCATTCTAGTAGGGCACAAGCTAAAAGTAGGCTCAGCTGAGCAGCTGCTTTTTGTGGCTGTGTAAATATATTGCCACTAGCAATATCAATATACGTCAGACAGCTTTGGAGGACATTTTTTTTCCTAGCTCCAAGACTGCTCCAAACAGTCATTAAGTAGCAGGGGAAAAAAAGGACAAGAGGTCAAGCAGGAACAGGATGTTCATTGTAAAGGTTGTAGGCTGACCCCAGTGTAACACCAGAACTCTTAGAACAGAATCCATATTTATGCCCTCCAGAGTCAGATCCCCTTGTAGCTTTGATGTAATTGATGGTTTTCTGAGCCTTTTGCCAATCCTAAGTTTAGAGCTGAATGTCTGCTCATGCCATTAAGTAGCTGGCTGAGAGCGAGGGTCCCTGGAAAGGTGGGAGCGGTTTTGGAGAGCCTTCTCAGCTGCTCTGCAGCGCAGTTGGAAAGCCGGCTTGTGTTTTCCCCTGATGTCAGACTGCATAAAAGCTCTCTTTTGATGGAACATTGAAAAGGCTTTCCCCGCTTCCTCCTCATTGACAAGGTAGTGAGATCATAGCTGGCCCATTCACACTAGAAAAATGTTCATCCAGAAAGGTCAGCAAGTGGGTTTGCATCATCCAACAGGCAAAAGCAAAGGGTGTTTTCTTTGTCTCACTGAGGGCCACTGTAGTCAAGGTTAAGAGACGGCTGGGGCAGTGTGGGAGGAGCAGTGGAGGTGCTTGTGTTGGGACATTTCATTCCTGGGACATTATTCAAAGGCTAGAGGATTCAGGGATGTCCTTTCTTTGTCTTCACTGAGCTGTCATCAGTGAAATACCATTAATGTGGAACTGAGGCTGTAGGGACACTCTGAGCCAGGGTGGGTGGTGGAACAGCTTCCCTGGAATGGGTCTTGTAAGGTTTCCCTTTCCCAGGGCGGGTTTCATTAGTGACAGGTGGGTTTGCCCTGCATGGTGACAGTGAGCCCATGAGAGCACAGCCTCTGGCCCTGCAGACATCTCTGTTCAGCAAAGTGCACCTGCACAGCCCTGCAGAGCTCTCAGAGATGGAGAGGCTGCTTGGCAGCTGCTCTTCGGTGGGAAGGAAGGGATTCTATTTCTCTCCTTATAGAGCAATGGTGATAAGGATGGAGGAGTTAGGGGTGTTGGTGTCTGTTACAGAGAGATTTTCTCCTCTGTGTGCAAAAGCATTTCAGTAACATCTGCAGATCCTGTTGCTTCTGTCCAGTGAGTTCAAGTACTTAACAAGTACCAGATCATAATTTATCTGGGGGGTTCTGCACAAGAGTCTTCCCAAGAGGATTTTGAGCATGGTGTTGTTCTTGGTGGGTTTGATCACAGAAGCAGAAAATCATTAATATTATGGAGGAAATCTTGCCTATGCTACTAATTTTGAATAGCCAAGCTGAGCAACATGATTGTTCTCAGCAATGCTCATATGCAAATTAAGAAACAAGAGCTGAATTACTCCATCTCCCTCAGCTTTGCCTCAGGTTGGCCTTGAGCAGAAGCCCTGCCAGCTTCAGCCTTTTCTGCATATTCAGGGTTGATCTGATCTGAGGAATCTTAACCTGGTGTATTCTTAGAGTACATTAATGTGAGGGTGAGGTGCAGAGAAAAGGAGCTGGACAAGAGGAGATGCAGGAGCAGCTCCTCAGCTGTCTGTCACTGGAGGGTTGTTCAGAGGTTGGAAAAAATGCTGGAGTTCAGGATGAGCTGTTCAGCAGAGCTACCCAGCCTCAGAGCGGGTTGGAAAGGCCTTGCAGAACACATGGGATGTATAGGTGAAATGAATGTATGTGACATTTGCAGGTTTAATAACCTTTTCCTTCTGCCATTGGGGCAGGAAGAATAAGATAAGCAGCACTTGGATTGAGCTGTGGCTTAACTGCAATTGCAGGCAGGACCAGGTATCAAAGGTCAGTTTAGGAATGGGAGACACAAAGGAAACCCTGACAGAGGTGAAGGCAGAAAAGCAGTGAGGTGTCCTTGGAGCATGGGACACCCTGTCACCTGGCAGGATCTGCTCTGCTCAGGGACACAGAGACCCCACACAGCCATTCCTGCCCTCCTGTCCCTGCAGCAGTGACTTGCCAGGCCCTGAAGGCTCCTGATGCCTCCCCAGTCCTTCAGTCCCTCTTGATTCACGTCTTCCTCACAGACAGGTGTTCCCTCCATTGTATCAGCATGTAGTTTAGTATGGAAGCAATAGATTATTCCAAGAAGTGTCCTCATTCAGTTGTTTTTTGGGCTTGTTTCCATCCAGTATTTAGGTATCAGCCACATGAGTTCTGCTGTTATGAGGAACTTCTTGTACTGACACTTCTCTTGTGAGCTCCTGCCCGTGATAAATTTTAGCTTCATACTGGAAGTGTTCTGGACATTTCTGCTTACAGTCTTGTCTTTTTTTTCCCCCTGCTGTTAATCCCTGATTTCATCTCTCCTGGAGAATCTAGAAAAAAGTGTTCCCATGATATTTTTATCAGATTTTATTTTCATTTTTATTTATCTGTAATGCACTGTATTTTGCAGGATGTAGACCTATAATCCACACTAATGCAAGTGTGTTGTCACTGATTATTAACTTCATTTGAGAAGCTAATCAGTTATTTCACTGTTTTTATATAGTGGCATTTTCTGGATCTGGAGGGTTTGAAGATTTAAATTTTTGTTACATTAGAAGACTGGCCACCTCAAAGTTTGTGTAATACACTTGAGAAACTATACAGTATGAACACCAGGGAGAAAAATACAAAGAAGAAAAAACCATTTGTACACAAGGCCAAATCCCATGCTGTTGGCACAGCTGCCCCTATTTATTCCCACTGAAAATGTGACCTGCAGCCTTCATCAGCATTGTGATCAGCATTGTGTGTGGCAGCAGGTGTTAACAGGTGACACAGACACAGCAGCTTATCTGGTTTGTGCTGCTTCACTTCCAGTATTTGCAACATCTACAAAATGACATTCCTTTAACTTGTGTAGCGTGAAGTAGGGCAGTGGAACATGTGCTGGATTGTATTTTAACTACAATACGAAAAGCCAGCTTTAAATTGCGGCATAAATTCATTATGATCCTCTACAAAGTATTATGGTTTTAAACTGCTGTTTAATACCAAATAGCCGCAGGAACTACATATATCTTTCAGTTTGTAAAACCAAGCGAAACAAGGACAGGCTTTTAAAAGCTTGATTACAGTTTATTTTTGTTGCGTGTAATTTTCAATGAGACTGGTTTATTCTAACAGCTGTAATAAGCATGGCAGATCTGAGAGCTGTTTTGTGATTGCTGGGTCCCTTTGTCTCTGATGATGGAGGTGTCTTAATTACTGTTTGTTTTCATAAATTTTAAGGATTAGTCATCCTTTGATGCCAGATGACTCAGTTGTACCATACATTTTCAAATCATTGTGTTCAAAGGCTTGGTGGAGTTGGGTTCTGATAGGAAATTTTGAAACATACTGCTTCGACCCATAGTTATTCTTTCAGATAAAGTGTTCTGGTATGTCATGGCCAGCTCTTAATCTGTTTACATGGAGATCTGACAGTTTCAGAAGATACCTTTTAATGTAGATACTTTAGTTATTGCATCTGTCTCTGTAACTTGTTTGCTGGATGAAATGAAAATCATCTCCAGATCCTGTTGACACAAGGGGTGGTGACTAAAATGTGGATCTGAACTCCTTGCTCTGTGAAAGCTCAGCCAAATCTCCCATTGGCTTTAGAAAGGCCAGGATTTTGCTCTAGCTTCTCTCACTGGCATTCAGAGGCCCTTCATAGTTTTGATCCCAGATCTATAAGAGTTTTTCTGGGGACTGGGAGTAGAATGGGTTTATCTAGCCAGCAATTTCATTTTGTGACAATGTTCTGGTTTTGAAAGGGCAAGGGAATGATTTTCACAGTGTGAAGATTGATTTGGAGCACTGAATCCCCACCAAACACGCAAGGAAATCATGGCTGGGAGTGTCATTGGGGATGCTTTATTTGGTAATGACTGGAGTTTTTGGATGGACCAGCCTTTGTGGCTTTGTCATGTAACTTCTGTAGAGACAAGCAGCCTCCCCTGTCCTTCTGCTCCCTCACTTCATTTATTCAGCATCCCTGTGATTTGTAGTCTTGTTTGCTGGGACAGTGCAAGCAAATGCTCACCACCTCTTCTGCAGCGTTCAACACAGTTGAGAGCTAAACACTGGACCCCTTACAAGCTCCCCAGCACTCTCCTTGCCCACATTAGGCCATATTCCTTTGCATGGCCCTGACCATCATGCCCACTACACTTAGGACAAGTCAGTGCCCAGCATCTCACGAGCCATTTCAGCACCCCAGAACATCAGTGCTGTGCCCTCTCTGCCATTCCTCCTCTCCTGGCTGCCAACCTGTGGGTCAGGATGTCCTCATCTTCAGTATCCCCTCACCCCAACATCCTTCTGTTCTGTCTTGGTTTCCTTCAGATGAGAGATCTGTATGTAGCCAGAGCTGCTCCACATGATCCTTCCTCCAACCTCAACTTGCCCTCCAGACTTTTTTATTTTAAGGATGCCAAAAGTGGAGCAGTGCAGTTGTGAACAGTTGGAAGGACTGGGGAGGAATTTTCTGTCAGCCAGCTTTGCCCAATAAAGCCAAAGGCTGAACCCAGTTCAGGAGTGGTAGTTCTCTTGGACGTAAAAACTGTGTTTGAGAGCTCTTGTGAACAAGCCCCAGGTTATTGCAGGGAGTGAGTAGGAATTAAACTGCTTCTAAGGTGATATTCAGATCCTGGTCATGTAGGGTTGAGCACTTTATATTCAGAGGGCACTGGAGACACCAGTTTGTAAATAATAAAATGTATTACAAACCAATCTAATGCCTTCACTGTCAGCCTTTAACAACACTTACAGAAGATTGTGTTAAAAATGGCACTTTACAAGAACAACCACTGATTTGAATCTGTGTAGAAGTTTATTGTGATACATGTGGAAACTGAGTTGCTTAAAACATCAAACCAAAATTAATGGGAAATTGTTTTACCTCTTGGGGGAAAATTGTTTCGAACTACTGAACTTGAATAAACAAATAGTCTGTGCAATAAATAGTTACATGATGCACAATTAAGATAAAAGATGATTAGTATGCTAACATTTTATATGGGTTTGGCTACATTAAAAATAGAGGTATATAGTTATCTGTCTTCAGTTCTGAACTGTAATCATGTTGATGTGTCTCAGTACATACCTCATCGTATTTTATAGGTGGCAAAAGTGGAGTATGTTAGAAAAAAGCCAAAATTAAAAGAAGTTCTGGTGAGATTAGAAGAGCATATGGAATGCACCTGTACATCATCAAATACTAATTCAGATTATAGAGAAGAAGAAACTGGTATGTTTTCCTTTTATTTTTGCATTAATGCTGATTTCATATGGACCTTATTTTTTATATTAGTAAAGAACGTAAAGCAAACATTACTTACCGTGAACTCAGTAGAGAAGCTCCCAGCAACTTCTCTGTGTTGAAGATGCCAAATGAGGGCCAGTTTGTGCTGTATAAGGAGTTTGGATTTCAAATTTAATGTGTATCACTTCTCATTAGGTTGGCCTTTAAATAAGTGTAAATGCCCAGTAGTGTTCAGGTCTTGCTTCACTAAGTTAAAGGTTGGCATGTTGCAGCTTGTGGATGAACTCTGTTGCCTAATTTCTTTAGACCTTGTGGATAACACTGAGATTTTCTTGATCTTGGGGAAAATATGAATGAGATTAATGTATATCACTTGGGGATAAATTCAGGATTCAAAGCTAAGGAATTAGTTTGGAAACAACATTGCTTATTCCTGTTGTTTCCTTATGTATGCATACTCAAGAATTTGTCAGTTGTCGTATTAAATCTAAATTTGCTTTATCAAGACAACCTTTGAGTTGCAGTGGGGAAAGATTTGTGGGGAAAATATTACTTTCAATCTGGCTTTCATAAAATCATTCTGAATTAATCTAAAATCATTGGCTCTGATCTACTTACTACAGTGCAATCAATGCAGAGCTCATCACACTTATTCTGGAAACCCACTATGGTAAAAAGGATGTTTTCCTTTCTCTTGATACTGGTTGAAGGAAGCCTCAAAAGTTTGTTTTTCACCTCTGCAGGGAATTGAAGGGTGCAGTAGAATCAGCCCAAAATTGGAGTCAGTGAAGGGCAGGTAAACATACGAGAAAAGCTGCCCAAAGGTGATAGATTTTGTGGTGTCTGGGTGAGGAAGGGTTTTTTGTACTGGCTCCATCCAACAGGGAGACATAAACCTGGTCCAAGCAAATGCAAACAGAGGAGTTAGAATTTCTATAAAAGCAAAGTTAGACGTCTGCTGCAATTTTACTATACATCAATTTATAATCTGGACTGAATGTTTAGCTGAAACTAGGTGAAGTTATTAGACAAAACCACGTATAAAGTGGCTATTTTTAATGTGGGAATGGTTTTGATATGTTTTCTATGTCTCCCGTTAGGAAAAAAAAGCTTCATTAGATCGATTTCAGTTTTCCAAATTGTCTTTAATTGTCATAGATGAAGCAGCTATGATTTCAAGATCAAAATTTTTGGTTTTGATGTGTGTAAAAACTGGGACAGAATTATAATGGGAAAATACGTATTTCTAGGATTTAATTACTGATAGGAACAAAACTTGCACCCAGCAAGTGGATGGTGAGCTGAAAATAGCTCAACTCCAGAGCTGAAGGCAAATGTTGAGTACTGCATGGTAACAGTAATTATAGATGGATCCTGGGAATGACGTGTGCAATGCCAACTTCGTTTATTATTTCTTTACTTTTGTGTAATTACTTTGTAAACTCAATGTCAAATCAGATGTTATAAAGTTATTACTTTAATGCAAAGGATAATGAGATTTCTTTGAAATGTAAATGGTTTGAGTATTTATGACTTCAGTGTTACACAAAATGCATTACCTTAGGGCTTTTCACCAGCCCTGCCCTTATGTTAACAGGAAGGCCTAGGGAATCAGGTAAAAAACGGAAACGAAAAAAGTTAAAACCAACATAAAACCTACTGGAACTATTTGATATTCAGGTAGGACCTATATGCTGAACACCCTAATAGCACAAGTACTGGAAAACTTAATCAAATATCATCACTTCAACTTAATCACTGTTCAAAATCTTGACACTTGCTACCTCAAGGCTGCAAAGAGATTAGATTTGATTGGCTTTGATAATTCTACCTGCTGGTATTTTCCCTTTAAGCTCCACATCACCATCAGCATCTTACATTCTTGAGCTACTTCCTTTTCTTGCCTTTTTTATTTCTTTTTTATTGGAGGGTGCTAATACTTCAGCTTCTGAAATCTCAAGTTCCATTGCCTCTGCTTTTGTTTCATTATTATTGATTTCTGAGGTCAAAGCATCACGTGATAATGCATGAATGAATTACCAGGTTACAAATCATTGTGTTCCCAGTCCTTGGCTGTGAAACATTGAGTGCACATACAGAAAATATAATTATTTGTGTGACCATCAAACCCATGCTCTGGCATGAACTGGGGTTGATTGTACATGCACCTGACACAGTCTGATGATCTGCTTACTTGACCAGAAAGATGCTAAGAAATGCCTTTTTTTTTTTTTTTTTTNTTTTTTTTTCTGTGTGTTGCAGAGTCCTGTGTTACTTACACCAGAAAATTAAGATCTTTATTTTTGGTCTGTTCAGTCTCAGTAGGATGATGATAGTCAGTCATCAAAATTCATGAGGTTTTCAGTGTAGTGAAAAACTAACACCCTCGCAGTGCAAAAATGACTGAAATCCTTTGGCCAACATATTAGCAATGTATGATGATGGCGACACACATTCCAAATTAAATATGGAATTTCCATTTCTTAATGACTTGAAAGTATGTAAACTGCAGCACTTGCAATTGATTCTGGTATTTGGAGTGGGAATGATTTGGATTTTGCAGTGTCTGTGCCTAGAGGATGGTGAATTTAATTTCAAGCCCCTGTTTTTGCACATGAACTCCCAGTGGCGGTTTTCATTTATACCAATGTATCATTTCTAAAGAATGCTAAACTTGATATCCTGTTTCAGATTAACAGGTATTTATTGGGAGTAGTATGATAGAAGCAAAGATTTTCTAAAATTCAACTTTAAAAGTGAGCATGTAAACTCAATCAAAACAGCATTTAGAACTTCTTGTCCCAGGTTAGTGACTCTTCATGCAGAACAGTTTCTTTTTTTAAGTCATCTACTTCAAGGACAGGACCTTTGATTCTAATCATAGAGTTATTGTATCTTTTTTCTCTCCTGCAGATGTAAGGTGAAAATAAGCTAGAAAAAAAACTTCTCTCTGGGACATGGATGTACATGGTTTGTTACATTCCTGAACCTACTATGTATGGTGCTTATTGACTGTATACTTTATTTGTTCTCCTGTGTGAAAAAACTGGCTCAAAAGAACACTTAATGAGAACAAAGAGACAATGTACATTTGTTTAATGTGACATCAAAGCAAGTATTGTAGCACTCTGTGAAACAATAGGAAGCTTCCCTGTCCAAAAAAGAAAAAAAAACGAAAGAAAGAAAAACAGAAAAGAAAAAAAGACAGTTGAATGAATGGAAGATACCAAAAGTACTCAAAAACATGACAAAAATCTAAGTGAATAGTGGATTTCTGTCAGAGCAGTCAACGGTGCTTTACGTCAAGAAATGTGCCTGCGTTCTTGATGAAGATGGATGGACACTGGTGGACTTCAGGCACAAAAAAAGCAGGAATGTATGAAATGATCAAATGCCACGCAAACACTATAGAACAATACATCCTTGCTTGGTGGTGTTTTAAAAGTCTATACAAAAAAACCTTCTGGGGAGCCTTAAGTGGATTTTTTTTTTTTTTTACACCATAAAGTGATTATTAAGTTTTCTTTTTACTCTTTGCCTAGCTTTTTATTATCTCTCGGACTACATTTGCCAATAACACATATAAAAGACTGGTATAACAATAAGCAGAACACGAAACATTATGGTATTTCTCCTAGTGGGATGCAAACTAATGAGATGTATTAAAATAAAAATGGTATACCTATGCATAATTTTCTAGATGTTTCTTGGTTTATGTTCCCCAACCTCCCCCGTAATTTAAAGCATTACATAAAAGAAAAAAAAATAAAAAGTGAAAAAAAAGGACAGATGTGCGTAAACAAATCATAGGATATCCATGCAAAAATCCTTATTTTTTTTCTTTAAGACTTATGCCAGTTGCCTACTAGTGATATTGTGTTAGCAATTGTCATTCTTATCAGTATACAGATACTTTTATTTCACATGTTGGAGCTGTGTGAAATGTACAAATTCTTGTATCTGCATTGTATAATGTCATGGTGGCATGGGAACTACCTTGCTGCAAATATTTGAACAAAACCTAAAATTCTTTATTTTTGGTAAAATGTTATGCTTTATGTGTATTCAACAGAAATATGTGTTTTTGTAAAGGTGAAGTTTGTATTTTTATCTAAAAATTAACAGTTTTATATACCTGAGAAAGCCTGCTATGTTTTCTTGAACCAAAAAAAAAAAAAAAAAAAAAAAAAAAAAAAAAAAAAAATTAAAAAAAAAAAAAAAAAAAAAAAAAAAAGAAAAAAAAAGAAAAAAAAAGCATTTTGTGGTCATATTTTTGTAGTAGAATAGCCCAAATAACATCAAAATCTATTTTAACTATAGCAGGACAGATAAAATACTCTGGCACCAGCTCCTATATTTCCAAAGTGCCAAAGGATTAAATGTTCAGTTCCCCACAGATTGCAGTGGGAGCCACATGGATAAATCCTTCTGTACTGCTTTGGAAATTTAGGGCTGTGCCAGATATGACATGGCTACTCACTTGGCCAAAATCACTGCCCCACCCGAGTAGTTTGGATTATGTACCCTTTGTTTTATTTGGATTATTACATTGGATATGTAAAATGAACTACTGGATTCTTTTATTTGCAAAACATCTACAAAGAGATGAGAGAGTTTTCGTAGTTTGGAACAACAAAAAGGTTTGTCTTGAAGATGGTGTTTCCACTCAAATAAAAATATCTTCAAATGTGAATGAACTGCAGAACCTTCAAACAACAAAAGAGAGCAAGAGTTTTAACCTTTCAATTTCTCTAAATATAATTCAAACATTCCCCTCCTGTTCCTGTAGCTATGTCCAAATTCAACCAAACAAAGCAATGTTAGCTAACAGGCATTATTGGCTTCAGATGCTAATGCAGAGATAGTGTTAGTCACCGTTCTATTTTGTGATCATTTTCCCAGTGTATTTGTTGAGCACCAAAACTGGAAATACATTTAACTAAGATTGTCTGTGCTTGTTTTCCACTAAGTGTACTGTTCACAATGTTATGCACATGAATGTATGTGTCTGCGTTTAAAAAAGTGTATAAAATGTAATTTATATATTTATGTTTCGGTGGGATGCCAATAATGTTGCTCCGTTGCTTTTTCTTTTTTTTTTTTTTTTTTTTTTTTTTTGTCTAAAAGATATCTAATGAAAGAAAAAAAACCCCAAACATATATCCATTAAAATCATGTAGATGAAAAGCATTATGTGACCCACTCAGACACTGTGCAGGTATGAAAGGATGTCAAAGTCACTTAAGTGGAATAGTTTGCAAAACAACTCTTGGAAAGAGTCCTGTGGTTGGACTTGCATGAGAAGGTTGTGTTTGGGTTTGTGGGCCAGCTCTTTGGGAGTCACTCCCCTGGGTATCCCGGAGCTCTGATTTACATCACGAGGGAGTCTGGCCTTGTAGCAAAGTCTTGAAAACAAAGCAAACCGAGAGGTTCTGTTGGTGCCAGCAAATAAACGTGTTATGCTAAATTCAGCACACCAGGAGAGAGTGAAGGCTTAATGGGGACTTTTCCAATAGCCGTTTGTATGAGACTTGTAGTCTTGAGTTAATTTTGTTACGAGGAATGAAACGCACGTGAGTCTTTGCTGTCAAGCACGGTGTTCATACAGCATGCGTCAGAAAACACAAAAATCTCAGGGCTATGTTCTCAGCTACTATAAATTGGCAAATGTTTCTGACTTCAGATGGCCCCAAGCTAATTTACATCAGATGAGGATGCAGTCCATGGCTGTTAAATTGTGAGGAGTAGTGTCACAATGTGAGCATCACTTCCTGTAGTCCAGCTGAGCTCTCACCCGCCAGCCTTGGGACCGTGGCGGGTTGTGGGATTAGTCCTCCTTCAAAGTGGCAGATACAACCAGAAGGAACAGTGACACTAAAGGTTGTGACACGGGAGTCGTTAATTCAAAGTTAAGTTGGACATTTCCAGGGCCATATCCTCAGCTGGTGTAAATCACCATCGCTCCGTTGTCTGCAATGGAGCTGTACCAGCTTACACCACTTGAGGGGCTGGTCCCTCATTCTTGCTCATCCCTTCCACTCCTCGGTCCCACAGGGATCCCAGATTGTTGTGTATGGTTAATGTAATCCTGTGTTCTCTAATACTTAAGCACAATAAGTGAATATAAGAATGAGTGTCAGACTTAACTTTGAATGTCCAAGCTCTGAAATGGTTTGTTTCACCATTGTGGCTGTAAATTAAACAGTTCTCTGTGCATTCGTGAATGCCGTGTCATATCTTCTTCTGCTGTCTGCTGGAGGTGGACTTCCTCTGGACTTCTAATGTGCTGCATTTGGAGTGTTACAGGGAAGGGTGTGAGCAATTGGAGCCACAAGATACCTGATGGACAGCTCTGTTATTTGTGGGGTGGGGGTTGAGTAGGGGGTTTAATGGAGCCGAGGGTGGTGGTTGTCAAAAGTTGCACTTCCGTGCAGTGCTTTAACACCTTGTTGGTTTTGTCCTTCCACATTGTAGGCAGCAGTTTGGGGATGAAATGTTTTTCTGTTTTACATTCTGCACTCATTTCCTCTGTCCAGGGATCCAGAACTTCTTGGTCTGATTATGCCTGTTTCTGAGGTCTTGTCTGATCAGAAAGGACATACAGAGATGTCAAACCCAAACCTAATCTCAGCATTAGATCATGGTGCATGGTCACTGATTCTTTGGTCAAGTCATTACATTTAATTCAGTGCTTAGCATTTCCAAATCTGTCCTTGAGTTGCTTTTGTTGAGTGAAACCAAGGATTGTGTGCCAGTTGCCAGTTGCCAGTTTGCTTTCCTTTTCTCCTGTCCTCTGTCCTGCCTGGCATCTGCTTTGTTAAGCAGTGCACGGTGACTGCAGGCAGTTGCTCCTCTCCCAGGTTCCCAGGTAGCTCCAGCACTTTGGGTTTAGGTTTTTTACTCTTACTTGAAACAGCATCCTCCTTCCAATGGGCTTAAATATTCCACTTGTTCTCCTTAGGTCCATGTTGCCTTTCTGTGGGCTATTTTCCAGCTGTTCTCTGCCTGACTTTCCCATCCCTCTTGTTTCTGTCTCTCAGAAATGATTTTCCCTTCCTAAGATTGTCTTGTATCTGTTTTCTCTCCTCCTGCCTGCCAGAACAGCCTTTGATCTGTTGGTCTCCCAGTCAGTTGGTTTATCTTGACATGTACCCTGAGATCCTCTCTCCCAGACCCACAGGCCCATAACTGACCCCCAACATGAAAGGCAAATAAATGCTTTTGAGAAAAAGATTCATCTTTGCATTTGGAAAAATATTGCTGAAGACTCTTTGCTAAAGTGCTGTCCAGTTCCAGCAGCAGTGTGATGCTGGAATAGTGGCATTGAAGCTGTTCTAGACATCTGACAGTTTAAGTAGGATCAGTAGCCCCGTTTATGTTTTAATTTGAATGTGTCAGATTTTTTTTTTAAGTTTCAAAACTACCTCAGATTTGCATGCTCATATTTTATTGTAAATTGAAGGAAATCATGTTTGTAGGCCCCTCCTACGGCTTTGAAAATGTTCTGGATATTTATCTGACCCTCACTTGGGCTGGAAATCATGGTTACTCTAAAACAGACACCACGTAGAGGTTTTGAATGAAGTAATTTCCTTGGTGTTTCTAATACACAGTTTGTACTGCTAGCAGATCTCAGAGTCAGGTCAACTCGTATGAATCCCACTTAAATTTCCTTTAATTCCAGGTACAAAGCCTATCAATGTTGCATTCCTCAAAAATCAGCCTATGTTTTGTGTTTATTACTCAGTGTAATTACTGTCTGTGTTCCCACATTTTATTAGCAAGGCATTATTCCATGTGTGAGCTTTTCTGTGCTGCTCTTTGCTGTAGCATCTCTGTGGCACAGCCTTGAGCTGGTTTGTATTCCTGTGTCCTCTGAAATAAAGAAATATTGTTATCCCATTTTAGGCGAGACCGAGGCATGGAGAAAAGCCTGTGCAAGGTCATACAGCAAGGCTGTGCCAGAACCAGGGAGAGGACTCAGATCTGAGTGCTCATCCAGTGCCCTAAATCACACGACCATCTTCCCTTTCCAAGAATGAATCCTTGCACCCTTAGAGCTAAATACTGAAAAGATTGAGGGTAAGTCATTTTGCCTAATTACTGTGCATTGGATACATGATCAGAAGCCACTGCCATATTGTCAGAGAATGTAGTGATTGACGAAAATCCATCTTTCTGCCCATGCAATTATGCAGCCTTTTATCCTATCGTGAGCCAGTCATTTCCTGCTTCTCTTAGGAGTCAGCCTTTCATGACTTACAGTCAAAATTATGTACATAGAACAAGACTCAGATTTTATGGGAATTTACAAAAATTCAGTAGACAATTTCCATTCTCCTTCAGTTCAGTGTCATTCCTTCCTTTTATGGTGTGGGTAACATTTCCATGGGGAACTGTTTTTATCATGGGCTCAATCTGAATTTTTTTTCCCAGGCCCTAACATGGAAAAACACTCATCTTCAAACTGGTGCCTGAGCAAGCTCCTAGGTTTGGACAAACATCCCATTGACCTCAGGCAAATGGAGCAGAGCTGATGCTTTATTTTTTAATTAATGTGTGCCTTCCTGACACAGGATCCCACTTGTGGGTTGGGGGTCTTTGTGCTCTCAGAGCGTTGAAGTATTTCGTAAACAACCCCAAAGATGAAGTAAGAAAAGTTCTATATACAACTAGGAAGACAGCTGGGAGTGTACCACTCCTGCTCCCGTGGAGGTTGCCATTTTGAATTACATATTTGTTCTTTTTGGGGAAAATACTTTCTTGGCATGTGTGGATTCAGGACTGCAGTCACTAATGCCAGTGAGCCCATTTCAGATCTGTTTGGGTACCTCAGGATATAGTTTGAAAACTCATAGATGTGCTGATAACAGACAAATTTGAGATGGGAGTAATTATTGAGAGAAAATTTAATGAGAAATTTAGTAACTTTTGATTTAAAAAAAAAAAAAAAAAAAAGGTAGGATAAACAAGACCAAAGGCTTGATCGCTCTTTTTTCAGTTATGACATGCCACCTGTCCCTTTAGTCATTCTAATTACTTGCTGCATCAGGCTAAATTATGTGCTGAAGTAGCTCAGAATCACTACATGTGAAAAGTTAGGACTGGTTCTTGTTGAACTGCTGCCTATTACCATGGT